CACTTCAGACCGATATATCTTATTTGATTATCTGATTACATTTTAAGAGTTTAATAAAAATGGTTATAATAACAGTAACATATATTTTGCTTTTTGCGCCTGTTTTTTATTTTCGTATAACAACTTTTGAAGAGAAACGATTTAAGCGAGCCTTTACACCAGGACCCTATCCAAACTTTTTGACCTGAACTCTTTCATATTGAACTCGTCACAATACAATACAATACAATACAATACAATACAATGGTGAGTGTCTCCCAAGCACTGAATGAAGCCATCTGGAGCTTATCTTTTGACCGGCTGGTTCAAATGGTAGAGTGCTCGCCTCCAGTGCAGAAGGTCGTGGGTTCAATCCCCGGCCGGGCCATACCAAAGACCATTATAGAAATGGTACCTACTGTCTCCTTGCTTAGCACTCAGCATATAAAGGTTGAAGTAGGGAACACAGCCAGTATTGTTGAATGACTGGTAACAGAGGGCCATGTGGAAGATAAGCTTCCGCTTAACATGTTCACCCTCTTTAAATAAAGTTCAAAATAAAAAATAAAATTAAAATATTAATTATTTACTGAACGGTAATAACAATTGGGTTTTTATGTCCACAGATGGGTGTCTGTAATCCATTGTTTTTTTCTTTTTCGAAAACATAACCGTTACTTCTTTGCGACCAACGCGATATTAATGCTTTTTAGTATATCCTGGGGAACAATAATATGTATAAGAATTAAAACAATATGCCAATAGATTCCTATCTCCTTTTTAAATAATTTTTGTCCTACAGAGTATCTACGCTTGAGAAGACCTTCATGAAAGTGGTCAGAGAGTAATGAAAAAAAGTCGTAGGGGATATTTGTCTTTGCCACTCGGTAATCATTCGTATTAATTTAAAAAATGAGTGGATTTTATCTAGTAGTAATAATGCCCTACTCACTCTGTTGCCGTCAAAGTCAGCTGTGCCCCTCCCCCTCCCCCCCCCCCCACCCCAGTGTCACATAGTTGTTAACTTTTACGACGCTCCTGACACAAATAAACGTTAGTAAATCAAATAACACATGCGTCCTCTTCCTTTGTCACCACTGATGAATTTAAACAGCGTCACTTTTGGAGCGCAGAGACATTTGGCATAGCTGTCGAAGATGATATCAAAGTTCAACACCCATGGTTGCCTTCTGATCAGATCTCATTTTACTAACTGCACCCACGTCTGAATGATGTGCTTGTCTCCGTTATATCTGTGAATATTCGACACATCAGTGATCAATCTGTATTAATGGCGCATCTTCAACGACCCTGTCACGCGTTATGGTAATTAAGTAGAAATTTTGGTATGAGGAATTTAATGAACAACGCGTCTTTGTGGACCAGAAATGAACCGAGACGTACACGGTGCAGGCAGGGGGTGATGAAATTAGGAGGAGGGGAGGGCGGCGATCAATTCGGCTGAGGCAAGGAGTCAGGTAAATGAAGGGTGTGGCCGTGACCACTCCTTGTACCTCCGTCACTTTGGGTCCTTGAGGTAACCTTATCTCTTTTTGACGCCGAGCGATACGGTTTTCTGGACCGGTCCACGCTGAGATATTGACGTTTTCATAGCGTGTCTAGTACGTAAGAGTTGCCAAAACGGAGGCTCTAGACAGAAATGTTGACGGTCACTCTTATTAACTCCAAAGCTGTATCCGAAAGGTTCGGCTATGTGACTCCGGTTTTCGCCACAATATTACACATAGTCATCAGAAAGTGCAAACGATTTTTGTTCGCACGTGCGCAACATGGCGAACCTTTCGAGATACGGAGCGCAGCATATTGCGCCACTTTGAAGGTGACGTGTCTGAACTGATCATTTGAAAGAAACCAAGCATGACGGTTGTATAACTTAGGCCCCATTCAGAATAGGGGACTTACTAGTGCGAGGGTCAAATATGGCGACCCACTACAAAGCTTGTCGTCTAATCCGCTAATAGACACTGAATAGATATCCCGTGGGGAAGTATTCAAGTGGGTCGGCAATACTTGACCCTCGCAGTAGTTAGTCCCCTATTCTGAATGGGGTCTTAGATCCTTCATGCATGTACCTCGTTAGCTGAAAAAAAGACTGCATCTGCCGTTCCTCACGCGTGCAAGAAAAACTGAATGGCGATACTTGTGCTTTGAAAAGATTTATCACAATCCTTCAGTTTAATAAGTTGAATAACTTTTTTTATTCAATAGTCTCTGAAGAAGGTGCATATGCCTAAAGATAGGGCGCTTTGAATGTGTAGATATATATTTTAGTTGATCTATATAGATGTATATTTAATGAACTCAACTTATGAAACCACTGAAAAGATGACACGATGGACGCTGTTCATTTAAGCCCCCTATACACTGGACGGCGTCCTTTCTGCTTCCAGCAGTACGGTCCCATTTGAGAGTTGAAAAATTATAATACTTTACGTGCCAACAACTGGCCGATCATTGAGCATTCATTCTGATACAAAATCAATGCTCGTGCCTCCTTATTAAGACCACAGTGATGCCAAATTTCATGGTCGCAGAAAGGACGCCGTCCAGTATAAAGGGGGTATTAGTGGCATAGAATGTGCCCCGAGTTTCGAAGTACAGTAGGAATAGATGTTCGTGATTTGAACTAAGAAGAGTTACACCTTACAGTTACTGTAGTTATACATTTATTTGTTCATTCATTTATTTATTTGGTGTCAAAATCCCAAACGATCCCTTTTAAATAACTCCGAACAGTGAAGATAGAAAGAAAATACTTTGTTTTTTATTTTTTCTCAAGTTTCGAGACAACAGCCGTTGCACTTTGACGGAAAGTGGAAAATTAACGCTAGCGTGGCTTGGCGGATACCGGATACATACCAGATACTTCGCGGATTCTTGGCGGATATACATGGCTAATTATTGGCGGATTCTTTGCGGATTCAGCCAACATATGTCACCAGAGTGGGAGGAAAGAATATACCGAGGTCTGCTATTTTACTAGATATCCCACATGCTTGGAAGCGTACTCTCCAACATAAGACCTCGTAATGTTCGCGTTGGTGAAGAGAGGGGGGCCAAAAATATAAATATTTCAAATTACCCCTTGATTCCCTGTGTTTGTCCTTATGCCCTATTTCACACAGACCACGAATCCCACGAATCGGCAGGAATTGACAAATTTCAGGATTCGTGGTTGAATCGTAATCAGTTCGTAAAGTTCTTAACAGATTCGTATATTATTCGTAGTCAGTTCTTGCAATTCTTGATCAATCACGAACTGATTATCGTGGGATTCGTGGTCTGTGTGAAATAGGGGCATTATATATGTGTGTATGAATGTCGCCGTCCGATGTCTTTTATTTCTTTATCTTACTGATTACAACACGTTTATAGAAGGTACAAAATTAGCTTTATTGAATACATCTCCGTATGAACAAACATGAATAACGATGAATGTGTCGAATGAGCTATAATGTAAGTTTGGGTTGGAAACTTCAAAATCATGAAGTTTTCGGCAGTGTTCGGGAGTCTTCGGGAAAAAGATCGGAAGTAGAAGTCAACTCTCGGGTTCCTCTGT